GCCCCGCGCCGCCCGCCGCAGCGCCCCCTGGCGTCCGCGGGAGCCGTTTAACGGTTACGCTGTAGCGCCCCGCCGGAGCGCGCGCCGTGACGCAGCGCAAACGAGCCGCTCTTAGAGAAGTAACTCCTGAAGGAACCTTAAACCAGATACAATAGCTATTCTGGGACCGGAATGCATGTATAGCATTAGGTGAAAGGCTGGGACAGGAGGGGGGCGTGGTTTATTCAGCAGAAACTTGTTTTTGCTTCTTGCACCGCCCTTCTCAGTCTGTGGCTAAACGAGGCCACTTCATGTCTTTGGCTTCATAATGTAATTCACAATTATCAGTGAATTGAGCTTTTCAAAGAGCTATGAGATACTCTGCGGGGTAGCTTAAGAAGTCTAAAAAATGGTAGTAATTCTTACATACTTTTGTAATTAATCTTACATATAGATTTCAAGGTATTTTATGCCAAGAAAATCAAGATTGTAAAATCAAAATGTGACAAAATGAGGAACCAACTTGCACAAGTTCCCACAACACTGCACTCCACCTGTTTGCATTGGAGGGTGCTGGATTTCCATCCAAGCTCCTAAGGCGCTGAGCAAGTTGATCCCACTGCAGAATTAGTCCAGCTTTGAAGAAGGGGTTAGAGACAGCATGCAGGTCCTTTTCAGTGTGAAGTATTCTGAAGACTTACACACGTTACACATTCTCTCTATAGGAAATATACTTTGGCCAGAATTTGGCCAGAATAATACAGGCTTCCTAAATGCATACACGTTGAAAGAGTAAAGTAAAAGTTTATCAAGATTAGCTTTTGCGTCCCTGGAAAGATACACAGCCGAGCAAGTCCTGCTGCGTGCACCACTCCTATGTCATTTCCTTTGCCTCATACACTGCAAATATATATGCCAATCTTTAACTGTATTACTTTGAATAGCACCATTCAGAAATGTTTATAGGATCAGACCTCTGCCAAAGGTCTTTCAGATTTATGAAGATGCTTGAATATTAGTAACATAAACAAATATGGTAGCAGAAAACATTAAAAGACCTATTTATAATATCAGCATCATGCCTGCTATAAGTCTTTCAACTTTAAATGTGTCAGTATTTGCATTCTATTTAGTTCAACATGAAACTATTTTACATAGGTCCATGGATATCTTCCCAATCATGAATATTCAGAAAATGCATTAGCTGGACCACATTTAAATCTTTTATTCAAAAGTTCTGGCATTTTCACATGCTATTTCAATTTATTGATTATAACAATGTAAGATTTAACTAAGATTCAGCAGTGTACAGTTCAGTGCTTTCTGTCATAGATTTACTTAGTCTCACATAGAATTAATTACAAGCAGGAATAATAATAAAAAAAAAGTAACTTGTTCTTCTTTCTGTAAACACCCAATCTGCTATCTAGAAATCTCTCTAGCACATGGAATTTCTTGTGCACTCTCTGCAACTTGTATGTTCAAATACAATAGTTGAGCATTTGTATTAAAAATATACATATATTACTGGAAGCCTTTGTGACATTTGCATACCCTTAAATAATTCTACTTTGAAGCAGGTTCTCCTAATTGTTGACCTGACTGCATAACCTAGAATAAACATCTCATCTAAACTCCTATCAATATACCCTATTGATCAAATCAATCATCAAATACCTGAGAAAGTATTTTATCTACTGTAAATATTCCACTGATTAGGAGGAAAAAAATACACACAAAACATCATCAACATCAGCTTATTTTAGCAACATAACCTTTTCTTACAAATGCTACAAAACAAACCGTAAAAGATTCAAACAAAAAGCCAGGTTAAGTACCACATAAATGAAATGACAGAGGATGCTAAGAGTAAAATTTAAAAAAAATAACCACCACCTTTCACTGGCAAAGATTTTGCCTCAGATACATTAGTATTATTAAAAAAAAGAAAGTTACCAAATTACATTTAGATTTTGCAAAGCCTAACAATTATCATAGGTGAATGTTTGAGTTGAAAGCCATGAGTTCACACCAGCCTAGGACAACTCTAGCAGATCATGTTATTACAATACCTCACCTAATTTTGCTGTTCTTCAACATTCTGTGTCAAAATAAAAAATACTCTTGAGAGATGCTGGGCTTTATTTTTCCCTACCTCTGTAAGGGGAGACAAAGAAAGAAAATATCAGGAAAAAGTGCTGACATATAACATTGTACAGTTGGTACTGGCCTGCTGTTAAAAATGACTTTAAAATAAATTATGCAATTCACAATGATTTTATTTGGATATCTATAAATATATGAGGGTACAATTAGAGTAACACATAACTTACCTCATCTTTGTCAAGTGAATATATACAAGATGATACTGTTGGTTACACATTTGACTTTGTCTCTTCAAGTTAGCATTTTGGTTTTTTTGGAGGGCTATAGCATTGTAAATAAGCCCATCTTAGTTATTTTAAACTAACTGAAATCTGCTGTAAAATGTTGTGTTTTGAAGGAATATTTCTTCTAATAACATTGAAAATAAATATTGCATTATTAATAGTTACTAATATGCAAATAAGCAAAGAAGTATCATCTTGTAATTATTGTGACGTTACCATGCTAAGCTTTATTTAGGCTTTAGAAGCAGCTAACAAATAAGAGGATCTACTCAAAATAAACATAAACAATACTATGACTGAAAATACAAAAAATAATTAAAATTCTCAGCCATTTGTCTCCAATATCAAGCCCAGATGCTCCTATCAATGCCCTGACGTAAAGGCAAACTTCATATTTAAGTTATGCAAATTAATTTTCAGGCAGTACAAATGATTTCTTTTGTAATACTCACATCTTTCATATGTAGGTATCAAATTATACTTTTCAGTCATCCATGTATTATTACTGTGTTCATCTCTGTTTGAAGCATCAGTTTTGTTTTTTCTAATTGGAGTCAAAAGTATACCTTTAAAAAAAAAAACACACACACACAGTGAAAGCCATGTCTTTTTCATAAAAAAAGCACAAAGCATGGGTAATATTTTACGAATTAAAATTTAAGGCAAAACCATCTTCTGAGCTGTACTGCAATATGGTATTGGAAGAAAGACTGGAAAAATCCAGTTTATTTCAAAATTTGCTAAAGGTAATTATGGTATTTGAGATGAAATAAACAGTTATTTTTAAAAGATTTTAAGACTATCACAGTCAAATGAATTCATCTTTGAATCTGAAGAAAAATCAGTCTATTATCAGAAATGTACTAAATAAAATAATGTAACTGAAATTCACTTTTGCGTCTCTACCTTATCAGTAGAACTTTACTCAACTCCTCATACCAGACAGGCAAGCAGAGTTCCTTTATTTAGTTTTCTGGTATGTAGCTTTCACTTGCATTGCTATTTTTATTTAATTTTTACCCTTTTAGTTGTCTAGCACACAGAGATGCAATTCCTTAGCAGAGCTCCAGGCATGTGCAGAAACAAGCATAACAGGGTAACACTGCTATAAAGGGAGAGTAGAATGACATTGAACCCAGCAACATAGAGCTACATTATGACCAGATCCTGACTATGCATCACTGTTTTAAAAAATAAGGTCATAAAACCCCAAAATATTGGAGGGCATATAAATGACCGAGAGAGGATTCAAATTGCTATCTACAAAGCAAGTGCCAAGTAGACACATTAGTTAACAATGATTATAGAATGTGCATTTTCTGTCCAGTTCGCAATAAGAATCTTGACAGTATCCACAGCAAGAACATAATCTCTATCCAAATGTTCTTGTGAAAGTCCTGCAATAGAAGCACTCAGATATATTAATTACATTAATTTCAAAACTAGACCCTTACTTTGGAAATTTTCATTTCTCCTCTGAAAAGTTGATGTCTCTCTGTGCAACCTTCCTTTATTTACTGGCGTTAACAGTATTTCTGGAAAGTATGAGATGTATGCTAGTGCAAATGCTGGCAGTAATTGATCAATTAAAAAATATCTTATTTTAAAACACAAAAATATAGGCTGCACTTTCCTTTAACTACTTCATTGACTAAGACTTAGGCCTCTCATCCATTAGGAGGTAACATTAGAACGTAAGGTTATTCATGTTTCTTTCAACTTAATATATTCATTTCTGTTAATATTTGACTAACACTGGCAAAGTGGACCTACAGTCTCATCAAAACCTATAATGAGGATGCATCACTACTGCCAAAATATACATGATAGCTACTTCTCAAAAGTGGCTAATGCAAATGTCATTTAGTACAAATCTCAAACAAATTAGACAAGCATTTATAAGACTGTTAGAAGAGCAGAATCAAGTCTAAAAAATGATTTAAAACAATAGTTACAGCTACTAAAAAAAAAAGTTTTTAATTACTCTCATAAGCTGCATCACTACTGTTGTTACAAACAGTCAACTTCCTAAGTTCCTTTTTATATCTTTTTTCAGCTTCCAGAATGACTTTGTGACAATCACACAGGTATGGACAAGTTTGCAACATCTTGCTAAAGGTTTTGCTATTGAAGGACTGGCCTTGTGCTGTACATCCTGGAAAAAAAACAGTATATTGTAGAAACCACAAGCATGAGTGTTAAAGCAGATATCATCAAATCTAGCATTTTTATTATTTCGCTCATTATGATCTATAATTTAACTTTCAATTTTTAATATACGCATCTCAAAAAAGCCTAAGCCTTTCTGTATCATCTTGAAAATATGCATTTTCTGTTTTGCAGTTGCTTAGAAAATATGTTTGAACATGACCTACGTGAGCAAGTTATACTGCACTTCCATTCCAGAAATACTGAATTGAGCACAGATCCTCTGCAAAAGTAAAAGAATATCGACAGGACAGGAACAGGTCCTTTATACAAGGGCCAAATACAGAAGTTGTCTTTTACCTACACCTTAGCAATTATCTGCATTAACCTGATGAATAGCAACTTCAACACAAGTATGGATTTCCTCACAGCAAAGCCTCCCTGCTTGCTTCTGAGGACATACCCTATGGTAATATACGTTCAGTTACACAGTTAGCTGAAGAACCTTCGTCACCTCAGGTGACTTCAGGAAGGGTACGGGGACATTTCACAGTATTCCAGCCTGAGATAAAGTATCTCTAGAGCTCAGGCTGAATCCACCTGGACGACTTCCTTTCTATGACTTATCTTACGTCATGCCCAGAAGTGGATTGTGGGCTTTTATTTAAGGTCGCAGGGTTGATTACAAAAATCCCCTTATAAACCTTGAGTAGCATTCGCCTAAGCTGCTGCGGGATTGAGTTCATGAAGCAGAACATGGGGAAACTGAAGGCTGGAGTCAAGGATTACTACAGAACAGACTGCCTGTACTTAATAGCAGAAAGGCAGGAAAATTTGAAGGGATGCACAATAATTAGGAAGCATAAAACAATTAGAAACTTTGTGGGGTTATATTTTTGCTGTCTTTGTCTGATAAGAAAAAAAAACAGGAAAACAAGTGCTCTGAAGTACTTAAGTGTGTTCTTTGTGTTCTTTTAAGCTGTTTTATATTCTGCTTATTAGTAAGTCTCTCTTAGATAAAGATACATAGATCTAACTTTGAATATGCAAGTTTTATTTCACCGTTTATAGTTTATTTCAGAGACAGAAAAGGAAACAATTAAGAAGTGCAAACCAGTTAATCTAGTAGGTGTGTAAGAATTTCTGTAATGTCAGAACATTTACTGAATTGCTGATCCTACACAGCGTCTTTTATGAAATCAGGGAAGAAAAGGCCTAAGATAATATTTACCTAAACACCTTAAATCCGCTGTTCTAGGGGATGAAGATGTAATCAAAATATGTTTTTTTCCCTTAGCTATGTCTGCATAGGATGAATGTTGATCTAAATTAAGAAGAAAAAAAAAAGAAGAAAAGCAGTCTATCTTTTGCTACAGTAATTTTACATCAATATACCTATGTTCAGCTTAGAAAAGCTTAATTTACATACCAGGTAAAAAAAGATCTCAAATAAAATCCTGATGTTAAATGATTTTGTTTTCAGTCTAGAATAATTCAATTGAATTCAATAGTTACTTTTGCTTTGCTCTCCCAAAGCAGCATATTATTTCAATTTGAACATACCAGGATAACTCTGTTTACTTACATTTCCTAACTTCGATAAGCATATAAAATACTGGAATAATCCTTACTCTCCATTTAAAAAATCATCACGTGGAAATCAGCTTGGTCCCTTCCAAAGCTATATTCTTGGAAACACTATTCTATTGAGTAATGATCAATTTTATAAATTAACAGCCAACTAGATTATGAGTATAGGCCTGCTTTGATTTTAGATGCCAATTCTGAAGAAAAAAAATATACCAGAGTAAAATGAGCAATGCAAGTATGATAAACCCTTACACATAAAGTAAACACATCTATTTATGTTTAACATGCAGGAGTACCTCCTGGCAAAAGCTGCTCTCTCAGGCTCTATCCTTCAATCTTTAGAATATAGAACAATGGCCATTATATATGCTATTGTATATAGCCATTTCTATTAATGGCTTCCCCTATTAAGTACAAATTGCATTTAGACTTAAATTAAAACACTTACTTGTGAGGTACTTATTTTAGTAGTTCAAATCAATCCCAAAAGAAAGCTAAAATATTTATTAGAAGAAATCTAGAATAAATATTCTTTGTAAAATTATACGCACTTAAAATTTTGCAGACTTGAAAAAGAATAATTACTTTTTAAAAAAGAAATAGTCAAGAACAATATGAGCTAAAAAACAACAGAGAATATGTTTAGCTATTTGTACCTGATGTGCATGCCTGCTTCAGATTTTTAACAATCTTCGCTGGTCGTTTAAACAACTGTTCACTAAAAAGACCAAGAACATGTGAACAAATTTAAAATCAGACTTCAAAACATACAATTAATTGTAAATGAACACATAAAGCAAAAGCAAAGCAAAAAGCAGAATAAATATTATACAAATAAAACTCGATTTTTATTATTATTCCAAGTTAATAGGCTAGATGTATTCAGTATGTTACTATTATATTAGAAATCTCTTTTATCAGAGATCTATGATCTATCTGCATCATAAGTTACCTCTGAAGGCTGCAGGAGCAAGAAGCCTAATCCATGGTCACACTTGGGTAATTCCTGTTCTCACGCAAATCCACGTACTAGGTGAGGGGTCCCCTCTCTCCCCCCCAGAAAATAAAAATCTTAAAAGATTTGTGCTTTAAAGGTCAGAACAACAAATAATTATGCCCATCAACAGTAAAGCAGAATTTACGTGACTATGGAACCCTGTGCTTCCCATAAATTCAGTAGTAGTTGCAAAGCCACAGTATATTGTATGGTAGGAAATTGCACAGGAGCATAGTTCACCCACACACAGGAAAAAAAAAAGAAACAAACCCCCCCGAGTTAATGTGGAACCTAAAAAGGGAGAAATAGTGGGACTTTCATACTGCCATTGTCTAACAAGGTGAGAGGTGGGGAGGAATACGCAAAAGATGAATTCAAGGTAACTGAATTTGTATTTATTCTTTTTATTCTTGCAAATTGCTATTTACTTTTTTTTTTTAAGGAATAGGAAAGATAACCATGAAAAGTGAAAGAAAGAAAAAAATACATGTTTGTGTTAAACTGATATACTGACATTTACTATTCTCTTGCTTTGTGTAAGGCTGTATCTTTTTCATCCCAGGCAGAGTAGTAGTTCAAGATGAGGGGAGAAAACCAAGCAAAAAAAATGCCTTTATTCCCACTTTGGTAGCAATATAATTTCAATTTTGTGCAAATCAGTCTAGAACTGTTTTTCCAGTTGGTGCATGTCCCAGAAGATTCCCTATTTTCATCCAAATAAATGGGTTAAAGTCTGATCTGCTGAATGAGTGCAAATTTTGTGATGGAAACCATGGATGCTTTTTCATCCTTAGGCTCAAAGCAATACAACATGACCAGGAACTGGCTGTATAATCTGTCAGATGTCTACCCATTAGGAAAAAAAGATAAAAAGCTTTTATTACTGCAGTAAGTTTCTATGATCTGTGATCTCAAAAACATATCCACAGTACTGTCTTACAGGCAACAAAAAGCTCTCTCTCTTCCCTTGCATAAAAAGACACATAGTTAGTAATCATTATGTAAAACAGCTGACATTCACTTTGGAAATTACTAATGAAAAAGAAAACCTTAGTACTTCCACTTAGATATAAAGTACATACCTTACTTGAACTAATTGTTTTTTTCCACAAGTATTTTTTTCATTTATACTGTGACTTCGAAGCACACTGTCTGTTTGCAGTTCAGCTGAACATGGAACATTATCCTGTTCACTGTGCCCAGTAGAAGCATTTACTGGATTTATAGTCCTCAGAATTTCATTCTGCAATGGTTGAGGATTTGCAGATGGAGCAAGAACCCAGTCATTTGACTTACAAATTAACTGTGGACAGTGCACTCTGTATGTTCCTTCCGTCTGATTTTTGGGGTCATTAGTATTCATTTCATGGTATTTTGATGCCTCAGTACTGACTTCTGAAGATGTGTCAACAAATATTTTTCTTTGTACTCTTTCCTGTATTTAAAAATACTAGTTAGTGACTATATGAGATCTATAAAAATAGTAATTAAATCCGATAAGATTAATTAGAATAGGTCAGTACATCTCTGAAGGTAAAGCAAACATTCAAAACTTCACAAATTCAAAAACCTGAGGCTGAGTTGAGAGCTAATGAACAACTTTGCTTTGAAACAGCAAAGTTGTTGAACATACAGAAGATGCAGGGAGTGGTTATCAATGGATTTAGTACTAGTGCAGAGCACTTCTGGAAATTAAGATTAATTACATCAAAAACTAGCTACTCTACAGACAGAGGTACTAAGTACTTATACAACAGAAAGAAATAAAACCTTATGTTCACATTTGCACATAAGCTACACTACAATAGTTGTACAATCGCAGTCATTCCTTGTATGCAAATGTTAAAAGTTATAAATTCAAAATACGCATCAGAAATTAAAAAAAAATCTGACTAGTTTTGCAATCTAAATGATCTTGACTTTATGGAAAGTATAATTTTATTATAAACTAAAACATTTCATTAAAAATGCAGATGGCTGTATTCTCCAATTGCTTTGTATACTTCTAGCTTAGTATGATTCACAATAATGGCACATTTAAGATTTAGGGGACGTAGTTTCACATGCATCCAGTGTTTTCCTTATTTTTCTAGCTCACACTGAAATTATCTTAAAGGTTTACTGCCTGTTTCTCCTTAGCCTCTGGATAGAGATGGTTAGTTTTCTCCTACTTTAGTAAATAGGCCAACCTCAGCATGTTCTTTCTCAATCAAGTTTATTCTGTGTAAAATTTCTTTTGCTTTCTTCCAGTAGTCTTGTAGAGTTCTTTCTCTCCTTTGTAGATTGGCTTCCAACTCTTCTGCACTGTTCACGTTTAATGAATTCTCATTTATTTTCAGGGACAACTGTTCAGCTTTATAAATTGTAAAACAATATTAATACTCTAAATTCTATCACTAAATAATTTAATATAAATATTAATTGCATTTTAGTATCCTGAGGGGCAGCCCCCCCAAGAAATTTATTTAGCAAAATATAATATCTTAAAAATCTTTATTTAGCAAAATATAATATCTTTAAAATCTTTAAAAAATGTGGTAAATATGCAATTGTTCAGCAGAGAAAAAAACCATCAATGTAGACAGCATTACAAAGTGAGTACACTTAAAATATTTGGAAAGTCAACAGAACTTAAATACAAAGAATAACCCATTTAATATTTTAAACAACAACAGTAGGCTTACTCATCTGCTTGCAGTTTTGCAGCACAAAAGTAGCAGCTTTGTTTAATTCCTCATCCTGAGACTCAGATAACACTTGAATCATAAGTGGAAGACCATTGTTCTTAAGCAGTTCATATTGGTTTTCTTCTAAAATAAGAAGTGGTAAAGGAAGATAAATCATTTTTTTGTGGCATGTATTCATAAAATTGACAATTTCTAAAAATAGTTGTGTTGTCTAAACTTGATAAAACACAATCACATCCCATCTTTTATTCATTCCTTTATTTTGTTAGTGTTGACGTTTTAAAAGAAACTTTTCTTCTGTAGGATAATCATATTTATATTTGAAAGATTTTCCATTAAGCAAAGCACTTTTTGCTTCAATTAATTCTTCATGAAAATGAGAGTTTTCAACGTATAAGACTTATGACCTACTAAAGCTAGTTACTGAACTTGTTTTGTTGTTTGGCTGTGTTTAACAGCAATGTAAGCAGTGAACAGAAGCTGCGCAGACCAAAGGCCATCAGAATAGAGCTCCAAAAGATTTGTGTGGCATGTACGTAGGACTGATACAGTCCTAACTGATTTTTATCTTGTGATAACTAAAAACAGCTCTGAAATCTGTTATAATATTCTACTTTTCTAATCTCTCAAACATATTACGTGTTAACAGCTATCAAGATCTAAAGAAAGAACATTCTAGAAAACTTTTTTCAATATTAAAAGAACTTTCCCTGAAATTCCAAAGTTAAATGGAATGACAAGACTGACACATACATTAACTTCAGAATTCACAAAAAAAAGATTAAAAAAATTATCTTACCACAAACTTCGGTGCAGTGTCCAATTGTTAGAATAATACTAATTTTTTCTCCTGTATCCAGAGTGTCATTAGGCAGCAGCTTTAGTAGCTCTGACACAGTGTGATGCTTCGCCAAGACAACCCCCATATTAGCTATTATGTTGAAAACAATTGAAGAAAAATTAAGTAGACAGCTAACAGACTAATATGAAATCCTTCCTCCCTCTCCCCAGGAACATCTCAGATCTCCAGAAGCTTTTGATTGCTTCTCCCTCAACGTATCCATCCCACACATGCAGTTTAATGTTAATACTTTCTTGGTGCAGTAATTCTGCCCAAACAAAACACTGTCTTTCCCCTTCCCCAGACTGCCTTGCATTGAAACATGGTAGAAGCTCTGAAAAGCAAGAACTTCACAGCATTCCAGATTTGCAGATCCATAGAGTTGCTTCATATCCTTTGCCAATTCAAGAATATAGCAAGTGAGGCACTTAAGGCACAAGTGTCCAAGAAACTGCATGCAGACAACAAAACAGATTTATCAGGCTCGCAGATTTCTCAAAACTTTCCAGTGGAGTATGTGAAGGTGTCTTTAGGCTAGTATGCGGATGGACCAGGAGCCATATTCACATACCACACTCATTTGGCTCAACAGCTGTGTTCATAAAGCCCCCTAAAGCTTATTTTAAAAGATTAATAGCTTAGACACAGATCTACAAAAGTACAGTTCTACAACTCCAGGATCCAAGCTGACTAGTGTCCAGTTCTCAGCTTTACTGGCACAAAATCAGCTCTGGTATCTTATTTTTAATTCTCATTATAGTTTAAATTCCAGCATCTTTATTTTAATCACAAAGGTAAAGCAATCCCCTTCAGATGCCAGAACACTGAATCACTACCCACCACAGAAGTCTGGATCTTAAAAACACTGCAATATAAGTTGTATTTGGAATGGATATAACTTGCCTTTTATCATCCTTTCATACAACTTTGCCTCCAAGACTAGACTGCTAACATTTGCTACTTAGAAATCCCAGATAAAAAACAGGTCCTTTCACTCACAGTCATTAGCAATGCAGGCATCCAGAGTCTTTGTTACTACTACTGCAAGTTTTGTACTCGAGTGGCTCCCATATGAATCACGCAGCAGCTTTGTGAGCACTTTAGCTAATGTATCCAATCCTCTAACAGAAGCAAAATATTTCTGTACATATGCTTAATGAAAAAGGAATAAAATGTGAAATCATACACATATCTAGTTGCTTTAGCATTTTGTTACTGCTTTGGCCCATCATGACTTTTGTAATAATGTATTAACCATTCAATTTCCAAACATGCAACATAACTGAAGGTGGATATGTATTAATCTTGACCAGTTTAGTAACAGCCTTATAATAACAAGAAATGCATAGCCTTAATACATGCATACTAATGATAAAGATTATGTCTGAGTTCTACTGAATTGTAATAATTTCCAGAAATGTATTAATGACTTGAAATTTGTAAAATACTTCTAACCAAAACAGCTTCCAAACACCTTTACAAACAGCTTTTTTTTCCCCCCCCTCCCCCTCACTAAACTGTAACCAGTGAGGTTCTTCGTGAACTTAAGCACAATCCAGGTTAAGTAACAACAGTGGAACCCACCAAACAGAATAAGTCATCGGAACAGAACATAACCTTGTAGAAATAGACAAAAAGAAGAAAGCATGCATTTAATTGCGGAATGAAGCTTACTGTTGCAAAAGAAAAGTAGTTCAAAGTCTGAACTGTACTTACAGTTATTTGCAACTGTGAGTCCAACAAATGAACAGATAGGACGAACTATCTCAGGCTCTATGGAGCTTTCTAGCCATTCTTTTGCGTATGAAAAGACTGAACAGCAAATATTTTGATTATCTTCTGGGAAAGTAAGAAACAACAAGTAACCCCTAATCCAAGTGCAACAGGCTCTTCCACTTGCATAACAAAAACAAGCTGTTGCTGCCTTTGAAAAATATTTAAAGCTTTCTTTAGATAGGTGTAGGCATTTTAACCACAATATTTACCATTTTGAGGATTATTAACACAGGCACAAAGAGTACTGCAGACTGAAGACCACAGCTGATAGCACTGATTAATATTTTCATCTGACAGATTAATCTCAGATATGGAAAGAGCTGTCCTGTTAAGAAAAAGAAAGCAAACAACTTCTAAGTAAACCATCATTTTTTTTGTCTTAATTGCTACAAGGTTTGTTTACCTGAATAGCTGTAGAAGAAGACCAATGCAACCCGTTTCTCTGACATATGTTTGCCCGTTTTCTAAAAATGAATATATATCAGAATCAAAAGAAATGTGCAGCTTGGAATAAAATCTTAATATCGCAAGTTGCATTTGCATATTTACATTCTATTTCCATTTCATAAGTGCACACATCACTAAAAAATCCAAATAAGCACATAAATACAGTGGCAAAAATGTTCTACTTCTTTCTATATATTTAATATGTTCTGTATTTTTTTTCAAAAATTACTGATTTGCATCTTTTCTTTTTCCTTAAAGTTAGATTCTTTAGAAACAAACTACTTCCTGCTACCACTACTTTTCTGCTCAGGAGCTCCAAGTAATGGATGATCGATTTACATACTTGAAGCTTAGCAGGACATTATGGAAATTTGGAACACCAAGTAATATAGATTGTTAAACAAAAATATATAATCATAATTAAAAGCTTTCACTGAAGTTATAACACAGAAAATACTCACTGTTATTTGAAACCAGTACTAAGATGACATAAACAGACATCCTTTTCAAGTTCACACCAGAATCTTTATTCATTAAAAATGAAATAAGATCTTCAAATAATGCAGGTGTACACAGAGTTTGTTGGCAATAAACTGAAAACAGAAAATAAAAATATCAAGTCCAAAAGCAGTTTATAATCTTTATTCTCATAACAAAGTAACTAGCATCTCAGATGCAATATATGGTGAGCAGAGCCTACATGGGTCAGTAGAGCTTTCCTCTGTTATCAGTCCCAAACCATGTCCGTCCTAGGCAAAACTGTCCATCTCAGTTGCCATGCACATTCACAAGGAACTGGAGCAGACCTGCCTGTTATCACAGAGACATGCTGTCTGCACAAATCCTGAGGAGCAGAAATATTCAAACCAAGGAGGGATTTTTCCAAATCTGGGGCTAATCAAAGAAACTGCATTTAAGGCACTTGTATTGCCTCTCATTCAAGCTAATATTCTTGTAATCCAATTTTGATGGAGAAAATCATGAAGATATGACAAAGCTAGAGCAAAATCAATAGCGAAACCAATAGTGAAAACTAATTTGGAAATATAAATAATCATATTTATTACCATTACTTTCTATTATGATTCCTAGTGTAAATAAAGCTGCTTCCTTCACTACGCAATGAATACTTGACTTTGCAAGGTCATTTATAAACATCAAACCACCAATTTCTCGCAAATATTCACTTGCTTCACCTACAGCAGAGGAAACAAAAAACAAAAAATAAAATTCTGCTTTTGTTTCTATGAAATGGAAAATCCTTCAAGATTTTATACCTGCAAGTTTTATGATATTTAGATATAATTATTCTTTTGGTGAATGAAAGGCAAGCCCTTAATGTATATAGCCAAAAAAAAAGTTTCCTTAGGATAAAATAATTCTTACTGTTTTGTTGACAGATTGAGTAAATGGTTATCAAAGCCTCTTTCTGAGACATAGGACAGTCCATCTGGTATTTAAGACATTCAAGAAGTAAATTCAGATCTGTCTTAACATCTATAAGGGTAAACACAGAAAACACCACAGAAAGATTAATGTAAAGAAAATATGACACTATTTAGCATTACACTAAACACATCACAAAAACATAGCATAGCTATGTAACCTACTTGGAAAAATCTGTTTCTTAATCCTTGGAGGAAAATAAAAAGACTTAGAGACTTAGCAAAAACAGATACTGTATTTAGCACATCTAATGTTTTGTTTTATTAACATAAACTACAGAAAAGTGCCTACGTATTAGCAAAAACCATGACTTTCTGCAGGGTTTATTTACTATTTGAAATTTTATCATTACATTTGCCTTTTATCTATACCAGTAGAGAATCCAAAATGACAACAACGAGGAAAAGAATATTTCTGCAGTAGTTCAGCATCACATATTAGGCCCATCAGTCTGCTTACGTTGTGTTACATAGATTCCAGGGGAAGAAAAAAAAAATAGAAAACTTACCACAGTGTGTTTTCTGTACCTTTTGATTTTCCATTTTTGGTTGTATCTCTATTCTTACTCTACAATGAGGAGAGATGGAATAAGGGGAGAAAAAAACATTTTTGCTACTGTTCAGAACAGCAATGTTTATGATGACACACACAGTATAAATTACATCATTTTTCTTGAAATATAGTCTTTCCAATTCTCTAGTTTTACTCTAATATCTCACACATATATACAGTTTCATGTGTTCTTGTACAGTATTTCCTCTGGAATTACAGTATATCATAGTAGTCTGCTATAACTACTGTGTTATGCTAACAGCTTTCAAAGTTTACATTTTGCAGAATTTGGAACAGTTTCATACTACAATTGCAGGGGTTTTTGGCTAACTTTCAGAAAGAAGTGTATTAGCTTTATTACTTTAACTGCATTTTTCTCTTTTGATACATACAAAATGGATACAAAGCATTTATAAACCAGCCCACAGTAAAATACAAATAGCTCAATCTTGGCTATCACATGGTTAAACTAACAAGATAAATAGCAGAATCTGCTTCGACAGACTTTTGGTAAAGGTTGCAAAGGAGAAATTAGATTCTCTCTTCCTTAACAGTTACAGAAAGTAACCTAGCAACATCCTCTTCAAAAACAACAAAAAAAGCCCAAAACAGAAGAAAAAAAGTACAGCCACATTCATCCTTTTGCTCAGCAGCGTTAAGGCATGTGGCTTAAACACTTGGAAAGGGGCCGACACAGAAGTTAGGGCATCTCATGTGAGGCTGATGAGGGTCCCACATTTCTCTGAGCCTGGGCTGGGGTTGCCAGCAGCTCCAGGACTCACCTCAAGCACCACAAGGTAGAAAGGGCAGGTCTCCCGTTTAATTTTCTTTTAACATCCAGTGGTTAGATCCTGACTTATGTGTTTTGGAACAAGTAAGGATTGTCTATTTTAAAATGTACACCACAGGCAAGGACATGCCCGCTAACTTTAGAGAAACACTGTTCAATGCTGGGGACTTTTAGCCTACCAGTGCTATCTGAGCATTTACCCTACCCCTCCTCTTTCTGCTCAACTGGACCACGGGTGATTCACCATCCACAGTCAGAATTCACTATCAGAGTTCAATTTCAAAGCTGAACTCCGAACAGCTACCACAAATCATCTCAAATGGAAAGAATAAATATGCATTAAAAATAGATTGCCCCACACTCAAGCTCAGGCTGCAAAGGCACCTTCCTCTGCCTCTCAAGGCAGATGGGACACAGCACACGGACAAGCTCCCTGCCGCCTCAGCCGCCAAGCTGCAGGCGCAGGTCCGGTGAACGACAAAGGCGACAGTGTCGCT